TCCGACTTACATACAGATTCAACTTAAGAACCCCAGGCGTCCCCAAGTCAGCTGCTGCTGAAACTGATCAGCAGCTGATTCCAGGAAGCCCAGGACAGAGCAGCTCTGCCTTGGGCTTCCTGTAGTCAGCCGCTGGTCAGTTTCAACAGCGGCTGAATCTGGACGCCCGTTCCGACTTACATACAAATTCAACTTAAGAACAAATCTACAGTCCCTATCTTGTACGTAACCCGGGGACTGCCTGTACTCATTTAATATAGTTTTAACTTTTTAAAAATCTTTTTCTTGGTAAATGTAAAATTGATTAACAACAAATATAATTGGTAAAAGTAAATGTACACAATATATAGTAAATAGCAAAATGAAGATAAAGATGGCTGAAGTTTTCTGAGCAGACAAAATCAGCCAGATACAATGCATAACAATGGGGCTACGTCTACACTGGCCCCTTTTTCGGAAGGGGCATGCTAATTTTGAAAGTGGGAATAGGGAAATCCGCGGGGGATTTAAATATCCCCCGCGGATTTAAATAAACATGTCCGCCGCTTTTTTTCCGGCTTGGGGAAAAGCCGGAAAAAAAGCGTCTAGACTGGCCCGATCCTCCGGAATAAAGCCCTTTTCCGGAGGATCTCTTATTCCAAAAACTTGCCAGTCTAGACACAGCCAAGTATTAAGTAGATGCAGTTATTAGCTTCCAAATTAAATGACGCTCTTGAGAGCAGGATGGTGGACTAGATATGCTAATGGTTACTTGGGTTGAAATTATGACTTTATGTCCTGTCTTTGTTACTTGATTATTTTAACGGTTCACTGACAGATTCTCCTTAAGGAAAGAGAACAGATATGCTAAAATCACAATTACTGATATATTTGAACCCTTCTAGAACACTATTTTTAAGAATTTGGTCAGAACCACCTCATGGTTTACCATAGTAACATGACACTATGTTGCACCCTTCATAAAATATCAATTTTGAATCTCAGTGTTTGAGATTCTATATCAGATTTGTTGTCTCCAATTTTATTCATCTTTAGCCTGTGTAAATGACTTATGGTAATAAGTGTATACAATAGTTCCAATTTTCTCTCATTGCTCTTACCTATTTTGGGTCCCTAGTTTATCTTAATTCTTTTTGCTTGTTTAGTTTTAAGCATGTTACATTATACAATATACAAGCTGTATGGCAGAATCCAATCTCATTGCAATACAAATTCACAAAGCACTTTCAAAAGAGAAGAGTGAGAGGGGACATGATAGCAGTTTTCAGGTATCTAAAAGGGTGTCACAGGAAGGAGGGGGGAGAATTTTTTTCTTTGGCCTCTGATGATAGGACAAGAAGCAATGGGTTTATACTGCAGCATGGGAGGTTTAGGTTGGACATTAGGAAAAACTTCCTAACTGGCAGAGTGGTTAAACACTGGAATAAATTGCCTGTAGAGGTTGTGGAATGGAGTTACAGGCAGTCCCCGAGTTACGCGGATCCAACTTACGTCGAATCAGCAGTTACGAACAGGGCGAGAAAAGCTGCTCCGCGTCTCCCTGGTCTGCTGGGGGGGTGAGCCCTCCCTCCCCCCAGCAGACCAGGGAGACAGGGAGCAAGCCTCGGAGGACGCCGGCAGCGGGACAGCTGCGGCGCGTCTGGGCTGTCCCGCTGCCCGCGTCCTCCGCGGCTTTGCTCCGCGTCTCCCTGGTCTGCTGGGGGCAGCCCCCACCCCCAGCAGACCACGGAGACGCAGAGCAAAGACGTGGAAGATGCGGGCGGGATCGCGGTGCATCTCGGCGATCCCACCACCCGTGTCTCCCTGGTCTACTGGGGGGGGGG